CCCCCCCCCCCCCCCCCCCCCCCGGTTTGCATGCTGGTCCAGCTCTTCACCTCACTTGGTTTTTAAAATAACTTCCTGTTTACACTCTCATGTTTATGCTGATTAAAATTTGCCAGATTAAAATATTTAAATAACTAAAAAACAAAACGTTAACTTATGAATGTAACACCCCCCCCCCAAATTTTTTTTTTTCAAAAGTGGAAATAAATCTTGCAGATCCTTCCTCTTGTTGACAACACTCAATTGTGGGTGATAATGTTTTTGTCCATGTGTAACTGTTTGTTTGTTAGTAAAATATCTCAAGAACTACAGGGTGGAGAAAAGTGATCATTAAATGAATATTTACAACCGATTAAATTTTGATTAAACCCATTTCAAAATGGCCACCACAGCTAAACAACCCTTAAAACACAATGACTTGAACTAGGTCACTTTTAATGATGCCGAGCTAAAATTTGGTGTGGTAGTAGCTGAGAGTCTCCTCAAACGAAACCCTGAGCACTAACTGATCGTGCACTTTTGTACTCAAACTTTAGCTTTAACTGTTGGAGTCAGTTTGTTAGCAAAATGTCTCATAAATCACTGGGTGAATTTAAATGAAATTCTCCAAAATTTATAACTGAATCAGTCAGTCTAATTCAAGATGGCCGCCACAGCTAACTAACGTGAAGCAGTCAAAAGAGAATGGACCAGCCTGATATTTATACTGCAGTTTTTACAGTAAAGTTTTAGTTCAGTTTATGTTAAGCTTCCTTGTTTTTTGTCCATTTAATGTATTTGTTGGTTATTATGAGTTATTTCATTACATTTATTTATTTTATTTTATTTTTTTTTCTGTTTGTTTTTAACCATCTTGTAAAACTCTCTGGTCAACCTCGTTGTCTCTGTTGTAAATGAGTCCTCGTGACTCAGTGAGACTAACCCGTTTAAGAAAAGGTTGAACAGGAAATAAATTGAAGCTGTGAACACAAAATGTGTCTAAGTCGTCAGCTTTACATAGTTTGAGCTAAAACTTGGAAGTAGCTGAAAGTCCTGCTGAACACAAACGGAGTTAGGTTTGACCAAAACACTTCAGCTTTCTGGGTGCAACGCCTCCTCTAGGTAAGGGGGTGGGGGGTCTTCACTTCAGGTGGAGGAGCTCAAGTCTGGATGTCTTGTTCCCGATAACGGCAGGAGCCTCCTCCTCAGTAATGAAGATGTTGCTCCAGTCGGTCGGGGTGAAGAAATAGTTGATATCAAGGCAAAGCTCTGGACTAACTGGCCTGTCTACATTCCAACCCTCACCTGCGGTCATGAGGTTTGAATCAGGACTAAAAGAACCAGATCCTGGATCGAAACAGATGAAATGAGCTTCCTTCATGGCCGGGCTCATCCTTAGAGACGGAGTGAGGGTTCCATCATACGGGAGAAACTCAGCGTACAGCCACAGCTCCTCTGCATCACAGAGTCAGTTGAGGAGGCTCATCTGGTTAGGAAGCTTCTTTCTGGAGGGTTTATGGCCATGACCCATTGGTAAGAGACCCTGGCAGATCTAGGCGTTGTAGTAGGGATTATAAAACCATTCTGGTGTATGAGGAGCTGGAGAGAGGTCTGGGTTTTTCCTCCTGGACCTGAACCAGACCACAGATAAGTGGTAAAGATGGAGATGACCCTAACAGCTACAATTTCTCAATATAAGAAGATCTTTGTTTAAAACTCTGGCTTTAGCATTCCTTTAAAGAACGTTAGGTCTCTGTACTGGAACGGAACAACCTCATGTTCCTGCTGTCTCCAGCTGATTAACTGGATCGTTTGGAGCATTTATTTGATCTCGTTGTGTCTTTATGTGCAGACTGAGCGTAATATGAGGATCTGTTCACCTGATCGTTTGGAAAGAGTGCTGGTAGAAAACAAAGCCTGTCTGGTAAATAACGTCTGCGCCTCCTGGTTCCTCTGCTGTTCTGCAGATGTGTTTGACCCAGCAGTGAGCTGCAACCAAAACAGGAGGAGGGAAAAGAGGAGCACTGAAGCGACATGACACCCCTCCTTGTATCTGCCCTCTCATCTGTATCCATCCCCTCTTTCTTTACCCAGCTCCCTCTGCTCCTTGTACCTCTCCCTCTGAAGTTGACATCTTCAGAGTCCACTGCAGTCGATCTGCTGAGCTCCTGGCCTGTTATTGAGTGTCTGCTCGATATGCATCAAGCCACCACCCGAAGCAAACGCAAATATAGACGTCTCCAGAGAAACTATTACAAGGAGTCAGACTCCAGCGCTGCGTGGTTAAAGGTGAATCCATGTTTGAATACTCCTACTCAAGACAAGGTCTTCTGGGATCAAGTGTTTGAACTGTTGCACGCAGGAGAAGAGAAACTTCTAAAACACTCTCACAACAGCACCTAGGCTAGCAGAGATAAACCTTTCTTTCTTCCTTATCTTTGAAAGAATATACAGTAGTTAGGGTAAATTAAAGGGTTCTGTTTTTTATCACGAGACAAACACAACTGACAGATTTTAATGAAGCACAAAGTAAATTTAGATGAACACCTGAGGTCGACATAATCCAAGATGGCTGCCACCGGCAACTGACCTTGGAGAAAATAAACAGAACCGAGTTGCTTTGACAGAGTTTGAGCTTTATTGTGTGATGGTAGTAGACCAGTCAGCCCCAACAAATAGTACAATGGAGTATTTCCAGTTTGAAAAATCCTATAGTTAGTCCTGTTGAGTTTCCTGAGTTATCCCATAGTTCTGGACCATGGAAACTAGATCTGCACCAAAGAAACCACACTTGCATCATACAAACTATACATTGAATAAAGAAAATTCACTGCACTGTGGAAGCTACACGTACCTGGACCACATAAACTACACCTGGACCACAGAAACTACACCTGAACCACAGAAACTACACCTGAACCACAGAAACTACACCTGGACCACATAAACTACACCTGGACCACAGAAACTACACCTGAACCACAGAAACTACACCTG